TCGGTGTAATAAGCCTGAATAAAGGCCGGCGCATGTTTCTGCTTCTGCGTCGTCGTGCCGACGCACTGGTTTCACTTCCTGGTTGTAAAGTCTTGCGTGTGTTGAAGAGCGATTCACCTCCAGAACAACAGGTGGAGTCACGTGTTTTGTTGAAGACGACCTGGAGAGTCACGTCTTTGTGTGTGGAAGTCGTTGGTTGCTTTATTTATTGATCATAGACTTTATTGCCCCGTGCATCCACACTGCTGCTTTTCATCACGGACACATTTGTCCCGTATTTTCCTCCACGACTTTGTTCCCGTCGTTTGTGGAGATCTCCCTCCATGAATCACATGAATCACTGAGTCACATAACAACTACAACACGGATCAGAACGCCGTCAGTACAAATCAAACTAAACCGCAGATCATCTCAAACTAGTTACGGCTTTCAGCAAATTAAAAATCAATCCAACTCAATGTTAGAATCACAAAGCTGAGATGAAACTTTTAGGGTGTAAACGCTGCCGCAGGAGAGAGAAGAGGAAACTAAGATAAACGTCTAATGAAAATCCATAAAAGCAAAATGAAGTTCAAGTTAAGAAAGTAAAAGTCTAAAGTCACAACGATAATCAATAATCAATCTTATGTTTAAATGTTGAATACCATTCAAACTTTAACTAGTAGTGACGATGGACCTTAACTCAAAGCCTAAAGCAATAATAACCCACTTATCTGACATTTAAATACAATCTAGTTCCACCACTGGAGATCAAATCTATTCAACCTTTTCAGAAGGTCACATTAAAATCAGAGCGGCTCTTTAAATTGGAATCGAGATCAAATCAAATGAAGACAAAGCTGATATCAAACTGTATCAATGCTGAAATGATCACAAGTGATATTAAAGTTGTATTTCTTACCTTTACTTGAATGTCCATCAGTGTTGGAGGGTGAACATCAATGAACAGTCCTTGTGTCCCTTTGACTCTAATGAAGACATTGTCTCTACATCATGTGATTACTCCTGTAAACCATATGAGGCGTGTTGACACAACAGCTGATGACGTGACAATCGTTAGTAACTCTGCACCTCGACACGCTGAGAACACAAAGTACTATATTATAATAGTACTATTATGATCAGCAGCCTGTGACCTGACTGAATACTACAGTACATTCAATGATCACACCTTTGGCTTGAATCCACACGCCGACCCGTTTGCAGACGCTTGAGTGTATTTACATGAGGACGTTCTGTAATATCACAGTAAAAGTGCAGAACGGGACGGAAGTGAATGAGTGAAAAACCAAACAGTGAATTCAATAAACTAACGAGTGCGTTTCTTCTGTTTGTTTGTGTTGTTTGTTCATTGTGAAACATTGTAAATACTGAATGGTCTTTATTTCTATATTTAGTGAATATTTGCTTATTAAACGGTTTAATGTTCATGTTCCTTTGCACACGTCCCATGAAGCTTCATCTGCAGCACGACGTCATTTCTCACATTTTAATTCCCATCTGGTGAAAGTACAGCGACAGGTCCGTTTATTATTTATTCCACATTTATCTACTTTATTCCATGAATATATTCCAGCACCTCGTCGCTGTGTGACGCCTGACTGACAGTCTGTGGTCGTCTGTAAGTAGTGGTAGAAGAAGAAGAGGTGCTCCATGTGGACATGAAGGACAAAGCTGTGTGTGATGTAATGTCCATGTCTCCATGCTGCTCTGACCCCCCTCCTCCTTTCAGGGTGGAGCCTGATGGAGTCCGATGGTTGACACCAGGTCTGAGGAAGTGTAAGTGTGCTTTGATTCATGAAGATCCAACCATCTTCACACTGTGACATCACTCATTCACCTCTGTGACGTCATCATCAACGTGTCAGTAGATGAACACATGATTAATAACTGCAGCTGTATTGTGTCTTGTTCTCTCATCAGATTCCTGTGAACTCACAATCGACACAAACACAGTAAACAAATACCTCAAACTGTCTGACAACAACAGGAAGGTGACACGTGTGATAGAGGATCAGTCATATCCTGATCATCCAGACAGATTTGACAACTGTCCTCAGCTGCTGTGTAGAACTGGTCTGACTGGTCGCTGTTACTGGGAGGTCGAGTGGAGAGGAAACGTTAATGTATCAGTGAGTTACAGAGGAATCAGGAGGAAAGGAATCAGTGACTGTTGGTTTGGATACAATGATCAGTCCTGGAGTCTGAGCTGCTCTGATGAAGGTTACTCTGTCCGTCACAATAATACAGTAACACGCATCACCTCCTCCTCCTCCTCCTCCTCTCCCTCTGGTAGAGTAGCAGTGTATGTGGACTGTCCTGCTGGCTCTCTGTCCTTCTACAGAGTCTCCTCTGACACACTGATCCACCTCCACACCTTCAGCACCACATTCACTGAACCTCTTTATCCTGGGTTTGGGTTTGGGTTTGGGTTCTGGTCCTCTGGTTCCTCAGTGTCTCTGTGTTCTCTGTAGGAGGGAGAGTCTCCTCCTGGTGGAGAACCTTCCTCTCTGTCACACAGCTGATGGTGGTTCATGTGGGTGTAGATGCAGGTGGAGCAGGTGAGGGGTACCTGAGCTGGTCCACAGCTCTCTGGGACTCAGGTGGACGTGTGAAGGAGCTCAGCTTAATGCTGCTGTGCTCCTTGAATCAATAGATCATCGTTTAGATATCGGCTCCTAATTAGGCTTTAATCTTCATCTTTATATCTTCAAGAAGACGTTTTATAAAATGCTCGTCTGCCCCCATGTGAGATAAATGTGTCCTTATGTGTGTGTTTCATTTCCACTCACGCTAATAACAACAAGGGGAAACACTTTAAATGTCTAATTCTTTTTTAAGACAATTTTAACTTAATCTTTCAGAATCTGTTCAGTGAACTAAGAAATAATTTCACATAATCAGGTTTGTTTTAAACAAAAAGCTTTTTTTAATGATTCAAACTTCTGAAGAAAATGTTTAATATCCTGACAGATAATATCAGTACTTGTGTTTTTATTCACTATAATAGTACAACATTTAGTCCACGTATTACTTTGGCTTAACAGCAATATAATTGTATGTTTCTAATGTTAATAAATGACTTTTATTGGAAACAACTGTACATTTTTAAACACGTCATAATATAAACATGCTGTATTGTTTATTTTGACGTGAAATACTATGATCCTTCTTAAACATGCTGTACTATTTACATATTATTTATATGTATTACTTGTTTTGTCACTAGCAGAGAAAACATCTGTGTTACAGCTGGTTGACAAAGGAAGTAATAAACAAACAAATAAGTAATAAATAACTTGGTTTATTAACCGTATGAACGTTAACGCAGAGTCGTCTCCAAACAACACAAACTACTGAGCTCGGTGCTTCAGGTGCAACTTGAAGGTTTCATCCTGCAGTAAATATCCTACTGAAGTCGCCTTGTGGTGTTTTGGGCCGCGTCACCGTGGCAACAACAACACACAAACAACAAGCACGTATTTTATAACAGGGTGGAGTTTATTACTAAGAAACTTGAGTATTGAAAGTGTTAAATGTGATGGAGTCTCTCAATGCACCGCCAAAATAAAACACAGACAGCAGCAACGGTCCCAAAAAATCAGATCAAACAGAAAGAGGAACGATTTTAACTTTAAATCTCTTAATAACGTCGTTATTGTACCTGAAAGAAATGATCCCAATAAAGTACGTCCTCATTCTGCTGTAAACGGTCAGATATTCACAAACATTTCTCTCCATCAGCAGTCGGGATTATCTTTTTATTATTATATTATATACATTCAGTCTCCTGAAACCAAATGAACTCATTGCAACAAAGAAAGGAAAAGGGTAATAAAATAAAATCCACTCTATACTCCAGGACGCGTCTCTGGGGGACAAAGAGCGTAACCATGACGACGGCGCTGAAGCTCATTTTAAAACTTGTCCTGCTGCGCTGAAAGAAACAGAATACAGAGTACATCTGGTGTACAAGTACAAGTACTGCACTCCAGTGGAAAGTCAAGGTACTTCACTGCAGCACTTTATATTTTATATTTGACGTTAATTTACAAATGAACCTCTCAGAGGTAAATATTTGACTTTTATTATATTCGTGTGACGCTTTAGTTTCTTCTCAGATTAGTTTTTCATCTTCCTGCCCAGAAAAAACATCACTTCATCCTTCAGTTTATCACAAATAGAATGATGAAGATGAAGCTAAATAAAAGGACATGAAGGAGTTAACGTGCAACATGAATGCAGGATGAATATGAATGAAACACGTCACTGATGTATTAATACTTTTAAATACTAGCAGTACGGTTTAGTGAGCCGTCATTTGACTTTTACTGAAGTAAACGATTTGACGGTTATCGGCAAATTAAAACGACTGGTCGCTTCTTCTTTCAGCCTCCTTTAAACTTTAGAGTTGATCTTATTTTACCGTGTTGTTGCAGTAAAATAATAAATTATACATTGTTAATAAATGTACAAACAAAAGGGTTCATTCAGAGGCGTGTTCACACACACACACACACACACACACACACACACACACACACACAGTTTAGTATAAAACCTGGAGAAACATGTTGAATTAAAACAAAATACATTTATATTCATTCATCTACACATAAAGTGTATAAAACAGCATAAAATAATTGTGATAAAATCAAATAAAGGGATTTAAAGCAGAAATAAAATTCTGGGGTCCAGTGTGATTCAATAAAGGTCTCGAGCGCAAATATTCATGGGTGAAAAGAAGCTCCGCAGGAGTGAGAGGCGCAATATCCCTGAGCTCCTCTTCTTGTGGGGCTACCCTGGCGCGCCTTCCACTTGTGGCACCCGTCAAACAACAGGAAGAGGGGTGTTTATTAAGGGGGGGGGTCTTCCCGGGGGGAGCCCCCCCCGCCTCTAAGGGGGGGGGGGGGGGCAACAGGGCGGCGCCAGAGAGACGAAGAAGAAGCCGAGAGGAAGAAAACCTCAAAGTTCTAATAACTGAAGCTACAACAAAGGGCTCATTATTAATTATATACTACGCTGCTTTAATGGGATATTTACACATTTAATGAGAAATTAAACGGAAGAAACATGTCATATTACACCGTACAAAGGAATTGACCACTTAAGGTAAAATGACTTCCAGGCTACTTTCTGTAGGATCGCTTTATTTGATAAAGACTGAAACGTAAACCTGTTTTTATATTAAATAAAGATTTCAGAAATTCTCTAATTTTCATTGAGTTGCACTCAGCGAAACATCGGACCACTAAATTAAAGCAAAGACTTCAAGCTTTTACAACATAAAGAGGTGCTAATTCAGAAATATATTTTAGGTTAATGTTTGAATGAAAATAGGTTTTTTCTGTATGACTTTCTGCAAATATATTTGGTGATACATGAAAAGAAGCTCAAACCAACTATTATGACTTCATTTGGAGGTCTGGTGCTTTACGCTTTGGAACTACACTTTACTGGACGTAAACAGGTTGTTTAGTGATTCAAATATAAATACATATATATATTATATATTTGCATTTCAGCAAATTGTGTCTATTGAAAACAAGCCGATTGAACCGTTAGCAGCTCAGGTTCGGGCCGCGTCTCTGCCTTCGTGCCCATGAGCCTCCAGTGTGGACGCCAGAGGGACACGTCTCAGCCTTTAAGGTCATGGATATAAACATGTGGATCAGATCAGACACGACCTTTAACTGATGGAGAGAAGGGAGATGATTGCAGGGAAAGAGCAGAGGAAATAAAACGTCACCAAACACACATGAACACACAGGAACGCACACAGGGGGACAGCGGAGTGTGTGTGTGTGTGTGTGTGTGTGTCTGCTGTCACGCCTCAGACGGCTGCATTTCACCTCATGCAGACAAACAAACATTAAATGAATAAATACTAACAGTAATTCTCAATGGTATCAAAGAAGGAAAAGTTGACGGGGAACTCTGGACGAGACCACAGAAGAAGACACGGAGGTGCGAAAGCAGAGAGGGGAGAGAAAGAGGAAGATTATTATCGTTCAGCCATCAGGAGACGAGCAGCGAGGAAACAACACAAAGACGCTCGAGTGCGATTCATCCACAAAGAGTCTGTGTCCACGAAGCGCTTTTTACAGGAAGGTTTTACATCTGGTTGCTATGATACGGAGAGACAACGCCTTCCTCTTTGCTCTCTATTAGACCATGACGCAGGTGATGCTTTAGGGCGGGGCTTACTGTGATTGACAGGTCTCTATTAGACCACGACGCAGGTGATGCTTTAGGGCGGGGCTTAAAGTGATTGACAGCTCTCTAACAGACCATGAAGCAGGGGACGCTTTAGGGCGGGGCTTAAAGTGATTGACAGCTCTCTAATAGACCATGAAGCAGGTGATGCTTTAGGGCGGGACTTAAAGTGATTGACAGCTCTCTGACAGACGATGAAGCAGGTGATGCTTTAGGGCGGGGCTTACTGTGATTGACAGCTCTCTTACATGCACGCTTCATATTTTAAGTCCACTAAGCTTTCCTTTATAAAGAGAGGAAATCGTTGAATAAAAGACCTGCGTCCTGATTCACAGCGGTTTGGTGGACACGTTGTCGCTGGTGTTGGTTCCAGGAGGACGGTGGAGAAACGTACCTGGCTGTGAGTTTCTGTCGTTGAGCAGCTTGGTCTGACTGTTGGGCAGGATCTTAATCTCTGGAGGATCTGGACTGTGACCGACCCGCGACGCCATGAGAGCGTTCAGGTACTGGAGACGAGTCACCTGCCAGCGTCGTGCAGCGATTAGTGGGTTAGTGCACGTTCATTAATGTCACTCTAATATAAAACCACTTCAACATTTTAACAACACGCCTCTTTTCAACCAATCAGAATCGGCTACAAATGAGTTGAGAATGTGTTTCTGTTTTCCTGTTAAATGAGACGTTTCCTGAAGGGAGCCTGGTGTGTGTATATATATATATATATATATATATATATAAATAATGAAGAAGAATAATCCAAGAAAACTGAACAGGATAATCAGAACTTCTTCTCTACACTCACTTCATTAAATTATTACCGTCAGTGCAAGTTAAGTAAATGTATACACCACATGTAAATACAGCTAAAAATATGAGATGAATTTAAAATGGCATTAAAAAGTACAACACACACAAATAAAAGTGAAAACAAGAACCGATATGGGACAAAGAACAAAATATAAACAAGACAACAGATTGAAAAATTAGCGAGTAAATAAAAACGTGCCTTAGTCTCGCTAGCTGCTTTGCTGCTGTTGTTAGCGAGCTAACGCTAGCTTGTGGCCTGCTGGAGGCTCCTCACGTTCCTCACGTCAAAGCAGGACAACGTGCTGCTACGTGCCGCGTCACGTGGACTTTGCATATTTTGCCGTTGACACACTTTAGTTTATTTAGTGTGAAATGTTCGCACACGTTGGACGACTGAACGCGACGTCTCTGCCTGCGTCACGTGACTCACAGCAGCTGCTGGCGGCTCTTTTATCTTCGCCCCGCGCGACACGACGAATCCATGATGAAATTAGTTGCAATTAGTTGTGATAATCGATTTTTAGCGATTTCATCAATTCGTTGTTGCAGCCCTAATATTTAGATTGTTGTACTTTAGTGAAAAGTACCACGAAAAAGTACTATGAACACTGTGAATGAGTTGAGAACTCAAAGGCTGAGAACACACACACAAATACACACACACACACACACACACACACACACACACGCACACACGCACCCGTATGAGCTGCAGGTCGCTGAGGGCTCGGACGGTGTAGTCGGGACAATAGCTGGACGGACTTGTGGCGTCGGCGGACTCGAAGGGATCCCTGGGAGAAAGACACTGGGTCGACACAGGAGACTGGTGCACTGCAGACACACACACACACACACACACACACACACACACCCACACACACACACACACACACATACTAATACACACACACACACATACTAATACACACACAGTTGAACCTGATCAGAAATAAATGACGGTTGGACAACAAAATAAAATATTAAATTGGGTTTGTCCTCCCACCTTTTTTCCAACTAGGCAGGTTCTGTGTGTTTCTTTCTTCCATACCGCACTGAGCCCCCCCCCCTCATGCAGTTAATAGTCACTCTGTGGGTTAATTAGTTAAGCATTTCTTAGAGGGCATAAAATTTCTTTTAAAACCTTCTCTGGGGGCGGAAGATACCCCCCCCCCCCCCCCCCTCACCACAAACACGGGGGGCGAGTGGACGACCACGATCTAGTTTCCATGACAAGAAGTCTCAGAGGGACGGGGAAGTACACGCGTGTGTTGATGACTCATTTCAATACCGCATCAGAATCATCATCATGAGCACAGGTGCATCCCTACAAAATAAAATATAAGAATAAAATAAGATACTAACACATTTCAACATTAATAATTCATGTGTAATACTAGTAATAGTACATATACAGTACATGTATATATGTACCTACAGTATACTATATTATTACAGTACTTTACATGTCATTTACTCAAAGCGACTTACAATAAGTAAGGAAACAAACTCGGTGTGCGAGGAAGCAGAAGAGGGGCAAGCGCGGAGGTATCCGAACCAGGCTAGCGGCTAGCCCAACTCGCCCAGCCGTAGCATCCATCATCATGGCTAACGCAGGATCCTTGGACAACAAAATGGACCACATACGACTACTGAGATCAGCGAATCGGACAGTGAGTGACTGCTGTGTGCTGGTTTTCACTGAAACATGGCTAAACGACAACATCCCCGACTCCGCTGTACATCTTGAGCAGCTAGCATAGCTATGGAGAGGACAGAGCCCACGTTAACGGAGGTAAACAACGCGGTGGAGGAGTTTGGGATGCGTGGTGCCAGGACGCTGTGGTAGTATGCAGACATTGTTCACCACTGGCGGAGTTCATGGTCACAAAGTGCCGTCCTTTCTATCTGCCGAGGGAATTTACTGCGGTCTTGCTAATCGCGGTATACATCCCTCCAACAGGCCGCACGCCCAGATGGATTGAATATCATCGCCGGAGATTTTAATCATGCTAATCTTAAAACTGTAACAACCAAAACTCCATCAGCAAGGGAGAAAAACACCTTGGACTTGGTCTACACCTCACGCAAAGGAGCATGCGAGGCCTCCCCCCTCCCCCACATCGGACTTTCCCACCACATCACTGTCATGCTAATGCCAGCATACAGGCCCAGGGTGAAAGTGGAAAAACCGCTTGGGAAAGAGATTTCCGTGTGGCCGGATGGATCAATGTGTGCTCTTCAGGAGTGTCTTGCGACAACAGACTGGGACATGTTCAAGCAAGCAGCTACACACAACAACCACATAGACAACGAGGAGCTTACAGACACCGTCTGCTCGTACATCCGCAAATGCATAGATGATGTGACCCACACAAAGACCATCATCACTCGGGCTAACAAGAAGCCATGGCCGACAGGAGCTGTCCATCGGCTGCTGAGGGCCAGAGACGAAGCCCTCAGAGCCAGGTCATCCACCGGGGCACCATTGAAAGCATCGTGTCCAGCTGCATCACTGCGTGGGGCAGTAGCTGTACTGAACGCAGCAGGGAAGCACTGCAACGCATCGTGAACACAGCTGGTAAGATCATTGGTGCCCCACTCCCACTCCCTTCCTTCAAAGACATATACACCACCCGCCTCACCCGGAGAGCTACCTCGATTGCGAGTGACACCAGCCACACAGTCTGTTCAGCCTCCTGCCCTCTGGAAGAAGGTATCGGAGCCTCCGCACCACCAGACTCAGAGACAGCTTCATGCACCAAGCTGTCAGAAAGCTAAATTCTCTCCCCTCACCCCCCAGCCATATCCGTCAGTCTGACATGGGGCTGAAATCCCCCCCCCCCCTTAAATCACTCATGACTCTGCAACAAAACTGTCTCTTGCACTTTTATCACTTACGTTTCCTTTATTTTCATTTTTTTAATCTATATGAATATCTGTATGCATCTAAATGTCTTGTCTTATCTGTTGTTGTACCTATGCACTTTATATGTTTCACCGCGGGAGAGTGGGAAACGTTTTTATTGATTCCTTGTAGGTCTGACATGCAGGAAATTGACAATAAAGCTACTTTGACTTTGAGATCAAGAAACAAGAAAGTGCAATTTCATCAAATAAGCAGATTTACAACTTGCTATAGATAAGTAAAGTACAATTTAAGTGCTACAATAATATGTGTATACAGTGCCTTGCGAAAGTATTCGGCCCCCTTGAACTTTTCGACCTTTTGCCACATTTCAGGCTTCAAACATAAACACATAAAACTGTAATTTTTTGTGAAGAATCAACAACAAGTGGGACACAATCATGAAGTGGAACAAATCAGTTTTGCACATCGAGAGACTGAAATTTTTGCCCATTCCTCCTTGCAAAACAGCTCGAGCTCAGTGAGGTTGGATGGAGACCGTTTGTGAACAGCCGCTTTCAGTTCTTTCCACAGATTCTCGATTGGATTCAGGTCTGGACTTTGACTTGGTCATTCTAACACCTGGAGATGTTTATTTGTGAACCATTCCATTTTAGATTTTGCATTTTGTTTTGGATCATTGTCTTGTTGGAAGACAAATCTCCGTCCCAGTCTCAGGTCTCTTGCAGATTCCATCAGGTTTTCTTCCAGAATGGTCTTGTATTTGGCTCCGTCCATCTTCCCATCCATTTAAACCATCTTCCTTGTCCCTGCTGAAGAAAAGCAGGCCCAAACCATGATGCTGCCACCACCATGTTTGACAGTGGGGATGGTGTGTCCAGGGTGATGAGCTGTGTTGCTTTTACGCCAAACATAACGTTTTGCATTGTTGCCAAAAAGTTCGATTTTGGTTTCATCTGACCAGAGCACCTTGTTCCACATGTTTGGTGTGTCTCCCAGGTGGCTTGTGGAAAACTTTAAACGACACTTTTTATGGATATCTTTAAGAAATGGCTTTCTTCTTGCCACTCTTCCATAAAGGCCAGATTTGTGCAGTATACGACTGATTGTTGTCCTATGGACAGACTCTCCCACCTCAGCTGTAGATCTCTGCAGTTCACCCAGAGTGATCATGGGCCTCTTGGCTGCATCTCTGATCAGTCTTCTCCTTGTTTGAGCTGAAAGTTTAGACGGACGGCCGGGTCTTTGTAGAATTGCAGTGGTCTGATACTCCTTCCATTTCAATATTATTGCTTGCACAGTGCTCCTTAGGATGTTTAAAGCTTGGGAAATCTTCTTGTATCCAAATCCGGCTTTAAACTTCTCCACAACAGTATCTCGGACCTGCCTGGTGTGTTCCTTGTTTTTCATGATGCTCTTTGCGGTTTAAACAGACCTCTGAGACTATCACAGAGCAGATGCATTTATACGGAGACTAGGTTGATTCTATTTATCACCATTAGTCATTTAGGTCACCATTGGATCATTCAGAGATCCTCACTGAACATCTGGACAGAGTTTGCTGCACTGAAAGGAAAGGGGCTGAATAATTTTGCACGCCCAATTTTTCAGTATTTTATTTGTTTTATTTGTTAAAAAAGTTAAAAATATCCAATAAATTTTGTTCCACTTCATGATTGTGTCCCACTTGTTGTTGATTATTCACAAAAAATTACAGTTTTATGTCTTTATGTTTGAAGCCTGAAATGTGGCAAATAGTCGAAAAGTTCAAGGGGGCCGAATGCTTTCGCAAGGCACCGTATGTCTATACATATACACGTATTTGAATTGAATTTCAAAGATTCTCTGTTTTAGTCACCATCACTGTCTCTCTCTAATGTGTCCTCTGTGTGGTGAGAAATGGTGTCACAATTACCCCAAAGTGACACATATGCAAAGTTTATTTGGTCCAAACCTCAATATTCTTACTAATACACAAACATTATTTATTATACGCTGAAACCTTTCTCATTGAAAACCGTCTCATTGTTGAAACCCGTTATTCATCAACTCAACATACGTAAAACTCTAAATGTATAATATTAATACTTAGTATTACTATTACTTAGTAGTACGTAATACTTATTAATACTAAGACAAAATACCCGTAAGGCAGCCGGTCCGGACTCTCCCCTCACACCCTGTGTCTTTAGTTTGCGGCGGAAGATGTGAAGGCTCTCTGCGGTCCTGGTGTCTTCAGAGAGCTCGTTCCACCATTTCGGCGCAAGGACAGCGAAGAGTCGAGACCTAGTCGAGTGTTTTGCTCTCAGTGAGGGAGGGACGAGCAGTTTAGCAGATGCAGAGTGGAGAGTGCGGGTTGGGATGTAGGGTTTGACCATGTCCTGGATGTAAGCTGGACCCGATCCATTCACAGCATGGTACGTGAGCACCAATGTTTTGAACTGGATGCGGGCGGCCACCGGTAGCCAGTGAAGAGAGCGGAGGAGTGGAGTAGTGTGGGAGAATTTCGGAAGGTTGAAGACCAGTCGAGCTGCTGCATTCTGGATGAGCTGCAGAGGTCGAATGGCGGTGGCAGGGAGACCCGCCAGGAGGGAGTTGCAGTAGTCCAGGCGGGAGATGACAAGAGCCTGAATCAGTACCTGCGCTGCCTTCTGAGTGAGAAGGGGACGTATTCTCCTGATAACATCCGCGGTGATGTTGGGAGTCAGGGAGAGTTGGCTGTCAAGTGTGACGCCGAGGTTCTTAGCGGTCGAAGTGGGCGTTAGTACGGAGTTCCCAAAGTTGACTGTCAGGTTCTGGGTAAGTGAATCTTTTCCGTGAAAGAGAAGTAGTTCAGTCTTGTCGGGGTTGATTTTCAGATGGTGGGCGGACATCCACTGAGAGATGTCAGTTAGACAGGCAGAGATCCGAGCCGCCACCTGGGTGTCCGAGCGA